CTCAAGTCCCGTAGAGTGTTGCTCGCAAATAACTCTGGATCGAACCAAGCGCAGCCCAAGACCTTCGGGTTGCGAGTTAACGTCGAAACCAATCAAGGCGGCGTGCGCATTTAGATACGCGGCGCGTTTTTAGCCGCATGGCAGCCGAGCGACACAAGAGCGCGCTAATCAGAGCGGATCGTCAGGACCTTATTCTAGCGGACGGTGATTGCGGATAACAGCTGCCGCTTTCTTTGCCCGCCTCGCCATTCTTTATTCTTGCCGCCATTCGGTTTCTTTTCTCGTCTTTCCGTGGTTGATTGCTGGATCTAAGCAAGCGGCGCGTTGGGGGAAATGAGGATGCGACTCGACCGGTCAGTCAGTAATGTATCGCCCAGTCTTGTCTCTGAGTTGCTTCTTCTAGATTGCTTTGTTGGTTTTCGGCCAAGTGTTTTCCGAAATGTCAAGATCATCATCCTGAAGTGATGATGCTGCCATGTGTCTGCCGTCCGATGGATTGTTCCATTTTGATGCAGGAACATGACTCTCCTTGATTAGGTGCGCACAGTCAGGGCCTGTCTGTGGATATGTTTCTCGAAGCCACTGGATTTCAGAATAGATGGCGTCTGTGAGTCGCAACTGCGCTAAGTATTACCGTGTAAGTCAGGGACTCGAGGCAGCGGGTGACGGGCCAAGGTCTCCGATCTCGAAGTCGTTGGTCGGGTCGCTCGTGCCGGGTTGCCATGGGTTGATTGAACGGGCGCAAGCCGTCGACATTTAGTCAAAGAATAAAGGCTTGGCCAGAGACAAGAGACAAGCAAGAAGAGAGACAAAGAAGAAGAGGGCATAAGAAACAACGAGTAAGGCAAGCAGCGCGGGAAGTGGAGAAGGCAGTAGGCACGACTCGAGGCAACTTGGACGGGATGCTTGTCGGGTGGACGCATCAAGAAGTCCAAGTCGAGGGAGGTCCCAGGTCGCAGATCAAGATCTGGCCGATGTGATTCACCTTGCACTTGCATAGGGCTCAGCAGGTGCAATCCTGAATGTGGCTCGAGGAGGGGAGATATTGAGCCCGTGTCTCTTCAGCGTCGATGACTTCTGAACTTTCGCATCCTCTTGTTCGTTTCTGGTGCTGGTGGCTGGTACGGATGCACATTTGGAGCTTCCGGTTTCGGTGCCGTTGCCGTTGCCGTTGCTCTGGTTGTGCCGCTTGCTCTTGGGTATCAGGTCAGCAGACCGGGGTCTGACCTTCAGCCGGGGTGATAGTGACAGTGTCAAAGTGTCAAAATCGTTGGGATTGCCTTATGGTTTTGGTGGTGTGATGTGTTATGTTGTGATGTGGTTGTGGAGCTGGTAGGAAGTAGGAAGAACCTTTGGGAGGAGGATGAGGACGAGGAGGCTGGGGGGAGAAAGAACCGACAAAGTACGTACCTAAGGAAAGTGGCTCGTGCCTTCCCCTGACGGGGGTGGATCATAATTCCCACAAAATCGGGAAGAGGGAACGTGCACAGGCGGGAGAGATCCACTATCTCCATTATCTCCATTTTTCAACCGAAGTTTATTATGTCAGCAGAAGAGCTGAGTAATGTGGGGCCTTCCTGGCAACGACAGAAGGAGTCATGGAATAGTACGTACCTGATCTCCCTCCCCCCCCGGTAACACACTGCAGCATCTCGGTCTTCGCGCCCACCCTCTCAATCGCCCGTCATCCATCTTCCATCCACAGAGCATCCCTATCTCACCCTCCATCACAATCACCACCAGACTCACATTCAACCTCATCTCAACCTTCACCCCTCAGGGCGCAACCGTAGCGACAATCCTTTTCTCTCCACTTTGCCATCTGCTTCGCCCGCGTATCCCTTCCCTGTCCCGAGTTCGAGTACAGAGAATGAGAATACCCTAGTGCCTCCTCCCGTTCTGCTGGCTTGTCCCGACTCCCACACTATCTGTACCACAAATGAAGGATCGTCATCACCCGCATACTGATCGTTCACCGTTTAAACCAGCACCGAACCTTGCAGCTTTAGCGCCGCCATCTTCGACCGAAATCGACCCTAACGCTTGGCGCAAACACGCTTCTGGCCCCTTTGCCTGCTCAGGTACTCTGTATTCCAATTACGATGTGCAACACTTGTCATCAATGACAGCCACGTCCTATCTTTGCACGTTGCTCAACTTTGTTGTTGTTGCTGTTGCTCTTGCATCTCGTCAGCTCACCACCTGTCTCTCGCTTCTCGGCCATTCAACATCGCCTATCCATGCCTTACCTGAACGACACGCCGGCGAGACTTCGATAAACGACTCTAGTCACCTGTCGTGGCTTTCTGACACCCTTGATCTCTGGGGAACATCGACTTAAGCAGCCAAGTGTACTTCGTACATGGAGATATGCACGTTGGCCCAATAGCTCCGTGGCCTGCTCACCAAGAACAACTCTCGCACCATCCGTTTTGCCGCCGCATTACCTGAGCCCCAAACCCAAGTGTAAGAGTCTGATATCCTGCGCCTGCGTTTATTACCATCTTACGTACTTGTGCGTCTGCGCTTGCGTCTACGTCTGTTTCTGCGCCGCCTCAAAGCAGCATGATGTGGACATAAGGTAGCTAGCTGTGGATGCGCGATGAGCGATGCGCAACGCGCAGACCACACCTCGGCTCCAACGGCCCATGTCGACAAAACACGTCTGTTTAGTGCTGTCAATTGTCTGTTTTAGGAAACCGCGGCGCCATTCCCGCTGGTGGAGTTGAAGGTCAGGCCAACTAAGACCAAGGTCGAGAGAGCAAGGCAAGGTATCCCGCTCACACCCCCGAATGAATGAGAGTGAGAGCAGAGACACACAGGCTCAGCCCAGCCTCCTACACGAACCGTGACGACATGCCTCCCGTCTATACCTTTGCCCGGCATTCATCTGCCATACTCTGCTGGCGGAAGCAGAAACAGATGGCACGAGCCAATCGTCTCTCGACAACCAGCAATCTGCTCCGTGCCTTGAAACCCGGCACCGCACCCGCAAGCAACACTCTGGCCAGAATATGCGCAGAGGTATCCTGGCAATCCCGCTCTTTTGGAAATCCATGCTCCGTCGGGTTTGGGTGGGCTCGGATTTTGGCTCTGGATCTGGCCAGCCATGACTGTGACTGACACGTCCTTGACGGCAACCCCTTCTCATGGTCTCCCCAGCTCATCGGCCTGGAGATCGTGGCCGATGTGTAGACAGAGAGTATCTGTCGATTTCTTGGCTCCCTTAACCTTGCTTTTCGTACTCGTTCGGTCGGCAGCGGTCATCTATCTCTCCACCCATCCACACCCTTCACTTAACCTTCTCTGACAATGTCTCTTCCAACTCAACTTGCTCCATGTTTGTCTCTCTTTCTCTTTCGCTTTCTCTAACCCTTCACAGCCCGTTCATGCTCGGGCAACCGTTACCATCTTCGTTCACTTTAGGCCATTCTCTCGACTTCTTCTGTTCCATCCTATGTTGAACGCTGTCCACGACGTATATGTTTCTGCAGGGCTTCTCACCAAGCTGGCCAACTCCCTCGGGATCATCCCAATTTTTGTCTGTGCCCTGGCATTTGTTTGATCTCCCACCCCCCTCCCTCTTCGTCACCTCCATCCCACTCCCACGTACCTTACGCCGTAAGACTCCCCGCTCCCCGACCGCCCCCTCCCTTCCATCTAAGCCAAGCCTCACGACGCCCATCGCCGTCCTTTCTTTCCCCGTCGCCGCCGCCGCGCCGCCGCGGCCCCTGTCAAACGTGAAGCTTACTCAACTGGGCTAATCAGTACGAACACACTACTCAGGTTCCTGGCGCCGTTCACCCGCCGGTCGTGGCCGTTTGTTGCTAGGTCTACCCGACTAGCACAGGTCCAATGTACGCGATACGAAAGCTCGTGGCCCGTACCGTACCTTAGCAGCTTGCCCACATACACATACACAGATCCCTCCTGATCCCATAGCAACATGCTACTGTGCCCCGTATGCAATCAGGTACCTTGCGTGCCCTTTGTGCACCTCACCACTCGCAACTTGTAGCCTTTTGCTGTCCCAGTCCTGCCCAGCCTGTCCCAAGAGCCTTGTCTGCGCCGGCCACAGACCCGTTGACTTGCATTCTCCACTGTCATCGTTTCTATCTTCAGCCATGCTGCTTCCAAGACCGGTTCCATAGCGGCTTGGTGCCGTTTCTCCCTCCACTCCCGAGTGTTAGTGACATAAACCAAACGTCCAGGATAAGCAATGCCAGGGACTTGTACCTTGCCCAAGAATCCATGTTGCACATCTCCATGTGCCCCATTGTCTTGCGTCCAACGACTGTGCGTACTCAGTCTGCTTTTCGTCCTGAAGCAGGCACCGCCTCGGCCTCCAAAGATCCCATCGCCCGTCACCCACACTATTCCCTACCCTGACCATCCAAGCTATTCCCACTCTGCTGGGTAGCTGATGCCATGCCCAGACCGCTTCCGTATTCGCCGAGCTGACGGGCCCCATGCAACCCCTGCACGATACGCCCGGCCCTGGTCCATACATTCTTCCTTCAGTCCTCGATCTGCTTCTGCGATATATTTGAAAACCGTCCGCCCATTCTGCACTTCTCCTGTCGAATCCTGAAGGAACTCTGTTTTCGTATCACTTGTTCGTCTTTCTCTTACGTTGGTAGCAACGAAATCTTGGATGCAAGTTCGTCCAGAACCCTAATTAGTCCCGGCACCCTCGAGCACTGCCTTGTCGAACCTTACGTCGTCGACCTTACCATCGGGCCCTTCTTATTACGCCTCGCCCTGCTTCTTCACTCTCTCTCAGCTACAACTTCATCCAGACATCTACGCCTGACCTTCGGCACATCGATCGAGCACACTTGCACACGTGCCTAGACCTCCGACGACCTGTACCCTCACGATATACACGTCAACAACTGAACGACCAAGACAGCTCTCATACTTGAACAACTTGATGACACTTGCGTATAAGTGTCCGAACTTGAATCGCCTCTAGCGAACATCCGCATCAGCCCGCAATCATGGTGTTTTGCGCCTACTGTGGGAAGTCCTTCACCAGGAAGGAACACCTGGAGAGACATATTCCTAGTCGTACGTCCTTCCTCCCACTCACTCAGAGTAAGGCAAGACTGACATGACATATTGTAGACACCAATGTCAAGCCCCATCGTTGCAGTGCTTGCCAGCTTTCCTTCGCTAGACGGTTGGTGTTTCCTGATGCTCGTTTCTGCCAACCTTCACTTACTCACACTCCAACAGAGATCTTCTCCAGAGACACCACTCAACATACCATGAGGCACGAGACCCAATGGAGCCGCTGCCCGGTGGTGTTCCCACCGTGGCCGGCCGAACGCCAATTGCTTGCCAGAACTGCGCCAATGCAAAGACCGGCTGCGATAAGAGAGTGCCGTGCTCGAGATGCGCCGAGAAGAACCTTCCTTGCGCGGCGAGGTTCGCTAGGAGATCATCCAAAGCTGCCGTCAGAGCGGCCCAAGCCAGCGCTGCATTCCAACAACAGATGATGCCCACTGCTCCCCAACCACCACCACCACAAGCACAACCGGTCGCCTTCATGGACCTGGATCCGACATTGCCCAAGCAGGACTCTCCGGGCAAGATGTCGACAGGATCGCCACTCGCTACCATGGACCCCCGCATGGTCGACGCGTCGATGAAGAAGAGCTCACCAGCTCAGTCTCACAGCAGCCCCAACGAGTTCTCTTCGCCGCACAGCCGGATCGAGGGACTCGACGAGTTCATGCAACTCAACAACGATTTCATCACACCAGACACCAATTACCAGGACATGATGGTATGGCCTGAGTACCCTCTGGAGCTCGACATGTATTCAAATCAGATGCCTGTCTCGCGTCCTGACATGCCGATGCCGAGTTTCACTGAGTTGAGCGACATGTCATCAACCTCTGCTTCAGAGCCCATGACTGCCTCCTCATCACGCGGATCGATCCACACCAGAAGCACGAGCATAATGTCCACTGCTGATTTCGACACGACCCTGAAGCCGGCAGAACCTGCCATGGGTATGATGAACGATTCGATGATTCCCGAATTTGAAGTCGTCATTGCTGCCGAGGACTCGTGGCCGCTAGCTCGCTGCAATCCCCCGATCTACTCGGGTACCTGCCCAAGAACCGCGATCGTACACCTGGAGTGCCTCGAGCGGAAGTCGAAGGAAGACGGTACCTGGAGCTCGCTGGAAAAGTACCTCGAGAACGTCGATTGGGATGCTTCCGACGCGTCTGTCGTTCCTCTCACCTCCCGCACACGCGACCGGATGCTGGCCATCACGCAGTCGTTCCTCCAAAAGGCGCTCGAAATCCATCGCAGCGGCCTGAACAACGGATACTCCAAGACTGGTTACGCGACTCCTAGCGAGTTCAACTTCATCGTGTTGCCTCCCACCAAGATCCTCGAGTATTTCCTTCGCAGCTACGTTCGCAGCTTGCATTACTACTACCCCCTCATCGTCGCCGGATGTGTCGACCCCAACGAGATGCTCCTGAACAACCAGGCATCGACTCTCCTTGTTCTTCTGATGATCGCCCAGGGCGCTTCGCACGTGCCGATGGCCGAGGCCAGGTATCTCGCCGCCGGTCTCACGGAAACATGCCGTATCTCGCTTTTCGACATCATCGAGAAGGACGTTGAGTTGTCTGCCGACCCGGTCGCGCTTCGATGCGCCCTGCTCTTCACATTGCTTGGTGCTTGGAGTGGTGACAAGTGGTTGATGGACATCGCAATGGGACAGAGGGGGATGTACCTATCGGTAAGCAGCCACAATTTTCCCTAACAAACAGATCACGAGAAGCTGACGTAAAGTAGATGCTCAGGCACGCGGGCATGTTGGAGCCTCAGCCTTCGATGATTCCGACGCTGAACAGTACAACGAGCACGGAGCTTCAATGGAGGGCATGGTTGCATCGCGAGATGCAAAACAGGCTCGTGTACAACTGGGTCATGGGTGACCAAGAGCTCAGCCTGTTCCATGACACGCCGCCGCAATTGGCCATCACGGACCTCCAATGCCCTCTGCCCAGCCCTGAGGTTCTTTGGCTGGCATCTAACTCGGAGCAATGGCTCGCGAACGTGCAGAACATCTATGGATGCACTGCCAACGTCAACCCGCAACTTCTTTCCAGCCCATCTCTCACTCCCTCTCTCTGCGAGCTCTTCCAGGACTTCATCCACGACAACCTTTCCCGTCGCCATGGTAGCCTGTCACCTCAACAACTCCGCCTCCTCCTTCACCCTCTCCAGGCCCTTCTTTGCCACCTGAGGCAGATGCTTTCTTGCTTCTCTGACGTTATGTCCACCCGCCGGGCGACTTCCCGCACAGTTACTAAGGCGAGCACGATGCTTCGCCTCGAAGAGGTCCAAGCCCTTTTGCAGAAGTGGTATGAGCTCACAATGTCACTGTCAAAGAACAACCCCGACTGTGGCACTACACGCTGCAACTTGGTCCTGTACCATCTCATCTCCCTCAACGCTGTCACCAACTTCCCTGAGATCGAGCGCCTTGCTCGGCGTGACGGGTTTGACGGCTCTTACTGGGAGCTCAGCTTGCGCCACAAGCGTTGCGTGTACAACCGCGAGGAAGCCATCTTCCATTGCGGCCAAGTTCTTCGTCTCCTTCGCTCGATGCCCGCCGACCGTCGTCCGTGCTGGTGGCCTGCAGGTGTCTACCGTGCTACTCTCATTCTCTGGGCCGACAGCATCGCACGTCTCGACCCGAACTTCCAGAAGGCGCAACAGGCCTCGCAACAGTCACAGGCGTCCTCTTCACCCGCCTCACAACACCACGCTCAGAGCCCTGAGCACATGAGCGGCGCTGGCGCCTCAAACGCTGCGACAAGTGCACACTCTCACGGCAGTGGCAACATCGTCGCCATCGACCAAGTTACTCCCGAGGACCCGGCCGTTATCTCCTACCTCTGGAGCGGGGGCGACGGTGTTGCGGTTCTCACTCGCCGCGACGGCACCACCCTGGGCCTGGACAAGCCCTCCGAGGTCATTGGGTACGGTATCATGGCCATCGAAGAGGGTGTCACCTGCCGGATTGGCGATGGCATCAAGCGCAAGCTCATCACGCTCAACAACAACTGGAACGTCACAGACCTCAGCGGTACTGCGACGGCTTAGACTTTCACTCCTTCATCCACATTCATCATTCACTCCTTTTAATCCCCAACAACAAAAAGTGTTCTTACTTCTCATCATGTCATTTTTATCTCATCATTGGATATATGGTATATGTCAATACTTCTGGCGGTGGCCCTTCTCTACCTGTACACTGTTACTTCATTGGCGTCTACGGCCTCACGACATTGCGCATTTTGGGGGACCAAATTCGAGGATGCTCTGCAAAACAAGCAAGCACTTACCTCATTTGATGAAATGGGAAACACACACAAGGATACGGCGTTCTGCACACACAAACTAGCGATGATGTCTTTTTTGCTTTTCTCTTCGGCTTCATTCATGGGACATCGGATCACTAGATACCTCGGGCCACTGGTCATGATAGGAGGAGGGCCTTCGCTTCTGAAAGCAGCATGTACTTAACATTTTCCTGCAAAAAGACTTTGCACAATCTACAAGCTTTAACTTGCTCACCAAATCTCATAATCTTCTCAACTGCCCCATTGAAATAAAGCTTCAGGAATTCGCATGAAGATTTGCATAAGTACACCTCTTCGCCGGATTACGTACGTACGCGCGCAACTGCTCATAAATCATGTTTGTGATCAAAAGCAAGATGGGACGAAGCCGCATAACCCTGACGTTAAATTCGCTCAAGAGATGGTGGGCATGTGACATGTGTGGCAGAAGGAGACATCACGAGATAAACGAGAAGGGAGCCTCAGGGATGATGCCCAAAAGGCCGCCGAACATGTGAAAGATTACGAAAATGTTCATCGACACACTCTCTCTCTCAACAGTCGTCGAACGCCTTTCCCTGCGTTTCCGCACTTGATCTAGAAACTACTCCCGAGGAACGGTGGACCCCCAAAAAAGCATGTTTTGATGTAGCTGCGCCTCGAATCCCGCGCGGAATATTCGTCCGACCTTTTTGATTTCTGTTTTGTTTGCGAACCGGTCTGTTGGGTCGTCGCTCGGGGAGCATCGGGTAGGATAACCCAGACACACAAGGAGCGGCGGCGGTGCGGGATTCGGGGGCTCTGGGAGCAGCGAAGTAAAGGTCCCCCTTCCAGGCCCCCCTCATGTCTGCCATCCCTGGGAAATGCATATGGATGAGGGTGGTTTGTGCCTCTTCCAGTCAAACGTGGGTTGGTTGATGCTGGGCTTGGGAATGGGAAGGGGGGAGGGGGGAGGGCAGAAAACCCGAGGACAGGGAACCGCTGTCTGTCTGTCTGCCTCCTCGCGGGAGCTAAAGAAGGGAGATCTGCACATATGACAAACGATAGAACAAGGTACCGAAGAAGGTGGGTTGTGTGTGACAGGAGACAGGAGACAGAAACGTCACCGCTGGATTAGGGTGCCTCGGCGCCGGTGATACAGACATGGACTCATCGCCGCCCTCGTTCGGCGTGGCTCTTTCGTGAAAATAAGGATTCTGACGCCATAAGCGAGTGTGTTTGTGTAATTTGTGAGCTTTCCGGGTCTGCCGGCGCAGGATACACAACAACAAGAAAAGAACGTGGACTGGCGAGATGAGGGTATGTTCGAAGGAGGCGCGGACTGCGGTCTGGTGGTACGACCGATTACACCGAGACCGAGGAACGCATACGGTGGGAAGCCCGGGTTTAAGCCCCGAACCTGTTTTGAGTGGCCGAACTACGAAAAAGGCCCTCTTTGGTTTTCTTCTAAAATGTGTTTCACGGGATGGACGGCGGTTTGGTTGTTTCTTGATTCAGTTCAGGTACATGTAGACACCGGCAGTTGAGAACGGGACCAGCAACATGCCACAAACCGCCTCGCCCGGAGCCTCACTCACAAAGTCCAAAACCGTCCCATCTCTCGGAATTCCCGTCCTGCAGTAAGGCGCCGCCGTATGCGCCAGCAGAAAGGAAAACAAAATGATGCGTGGGCTCGGGTACTCCCCTCTTTCGGGGTGTGTGCGAGTTGACTTTTTCCCAATGACAAACCCGAAGTGTTTTGACAAGTCGGCCTTTTTTGACGTGAGGGTGGCCGGGAGAGTTGGTCGATATAAGGGACGACTAAGGAGTCCACACACACACACACTCAACGAGAAAGGACAAGCGGACTGGAGGAATTGTCCGACCCTGGGCTGCTCCTTGTCCGGGGTTGAAGTCCGGTGTGGGCGGGATGTTGGGGTTTGGGGCTCAGGGGAGGGGCCGTGTGTGTGCTTATTGTGCAGGAAACATTTCTTTGGGGTTTCCCCTTGTACGTACGGCACATTCGTCCGAAGATATGAGGTCTGAATGATGTTCTTTCGGGTTTGACCTTACGAACTCGGCAAGGTGCCCAGGAATAATAAGTCAGGGGATACCGGGACTTGGGAGAAGAATTGCCGGCCCCCCACAAAATGCCGAGCGGGCGAGTAGGGTCGTCCGGAAAGCATCAGGAAGAGACGAGGTCCCTTGGCGGTTCGCATTCGGTGTTAGACCATTGGACGGGAAACCCGCGACGTCGGTGACGGGAGGTTGGCGCGGCCGCTATACCAGACTACTCACCGAGGGTGGTGGGGCGTGGTATTGCGGGAGGGAGGGGTTTTTAAGCTTGTCGATGTTTCCTCTCGTTTTCACCGACGCTGACCTTGTAGAGGATGGTGGTTTTCTTGGGAGGAGGGGTGATTGAGTCGTGAACTTGTTCGTTGGACATGGTTTCGGATCCTGCGACTCTGGGTGGCTCATGTGTAGGGGTTGTGGTGATCTCGTGATCATCAGTAATCATGGGTTTGTTCGTGGGTTTAGGTTGCGATACCGAAAGAACTCGGCCGATGAAGCAGATAAGACGGTCAGAGAGGAGGTGAACGGAGATGTGGTGTTGGTATCACGGCGTCTGCATTCCCCCTTTTGGGGTGTTGAGGTCGTCCACGATGGCAAGGGAATCATGAACCATGGATCACAGAACGCGAGGACCATCGCGATCCTTATCACTTCCGCATTGAAAGAATTCCGTTCCAAGGAAGGACCATTAGTTCCGCGGGAAGGTTGTAGATCAGCCGTGTGCTAACCGCTCGATGACGCAAGTCCCTGGGACGGTCCGCCAGATATTCGACTTGGTTGCGTGACTTGAACTGTGGGTCAATGGAAACCAAATGAGGTGGTTTCGATAACATGGGTTCTGTGACTGAAAGCCAAGAAGTACACCTCGTGATCGTCCCTAGCCTTGGCTCAAGGAACGACGATTTATCCGATCGAGCGATGAACGGAGCGGCGCCGATTCGATCTTCCTTGTTGAGCGTCGTTCTATATGCAAACAGGCTGAACAACACCAAGAAAAGAAACGTCAGCGAAAACACCTCATTGGAGAATCTCAAGCCCCTGGTAGCATGTCCTGGTGTAGGCCCGGGACTGGGCTATCAAACCTTGGGCCAGAGCGTCTAGCCTGTCCTCGACTTGCCAAAAGAGTAGATAAAACACGTCAGTCCTGTCATTCCAAGTATGTTCTGGAGGTCGAAGGAGAAGTTCTGCCGTCTAGGCCTGCCGTCACCTCGGTCTAAACAGGACAACGCCGAGGCCGAACCAAGGTGGTCGACGTGATGCGCGTCTGTCTCGCGGTTACGGATCTGAGATCCGGTGCACGGTGAAGATTGTTTGACAGCAGTAACACGCGCGTCTGGCGCTAAGACTTCTGCGAGATTTCCGTGTCCCCATCTTCAGATATGTCTTTACAGGCAGGTTGCTTATGCCGCTGGTTGGTGTTTCCCGCCAGCTCGGGACGCGAGATGTGACGAAAGTGATCCGTGTCAATTGGTAACTTTCTTGAGACGAACAGAACGACAAAGGAGGAATCCTCTTGTGATGAACAGTTGGCTCGATTATGAGCTTGCTGGTTTTCAGCTGTCTGATGGGTAAGGAAGACAGGAACCTCGGCCCGGTCACGAATTCTTTCAATCGAACAACACGGCCTCGCTTTTCAATCCCGACCTGAAGACCAGAAGATTTAAGCAGTCATACGGTTTTGTTACTCGATCAAATCTAATTGGAGTAATTGAAGTGAATTTATAAATGCTAATGTGCTTAGGAGTTGTTCAGATTCAGCTCACAACTCGCACAACCCACAAACAACAACTAGTTAACGTCTTTGAAAACATTTGCACCGTATTTTCCACCGTCACAAGGATTCAATTCATCCGAAATCCCAACTTAGCTATTATCAAGAATATTTGGACTTCAACGCACCGCAACTTTCGCTGAAGAGAGGTTTCTGGTATGTTACATAAGCGGGATTGGCAGGTGTACCGCTGACTAACACACATGTGCCCTTACGGCTCGCCCACAAGAGGACGGCACGAACCCCCGAACCGAGCTTCAACTACCAGTTCGTGTCTTCGCGCTTACAGTAATTGACGCGATCCAACCTCCTCCATCACCGCTGACGACCACTCAGAGACATTGGGCTCTCACTTGGGGGACGGGATGCGCAGGCACACCGTACACACGCCACCCCTTACGACCGGACCTCCGTTGGGGGTGGGGCCCCCTTCCCGCGGACCGCAGCCGGTCCCTGACGCCGCGCCTTTTCGCCCTGACATTGGTTCCCGTAGCTCTGCCTGCTAGGCGCGACGCTACCACTACCGCGAAGCCATCCGTCGGATCGACTGAGCGGTCGACTCAGTTGAGCGTCGATTGCCATGCGCGAGGTGCCGTAGCAACCAGTGCTGGTGCTGGGTGATCCTTCAGTTACGTGAAAGAAGGAAGGCCAGCTTCGATGGTTGGCTTCGAAGCTGGAGTACCCCCAAGCCATCTCCTGAGATAACTCCACATCTCCGGCAGAAACTCCGGATGGGCTCCTAGAAGCTCTCGCTCATGGAGACAGAACTGCATCCCACCAAAACCGAACCTGATCCAGGCAAAGTTTCAGCGAAGCGGCCCAGTAGGAAGGACTACAGACTTGAGCCCATCTCACCGGCCATTCTAACATCAAGAAAGAAGACAGACGCAGCGTACCGTCTGCAGCCCTGGGTGCTATGGCGTAAACGCTCCCGCTGT